CGCGCTGGACCTGGACCACAGCGGCAAGGTCTCCAAGTCCCAGCTCAAGGTGGGCGCCCCCCGTCCCGGCCGTCCCCGGCGCGCTCCGCGCTCCCCCCGGGTGGCCGCGGGACCCGGCGCGCGGGGACCGCGGGGAGGGGCGGGCCGGCGTGCGGCCGGGAGGCCTGCTTGGGCGGAGCGGGCGGAGGCCGGGATTTGGAGTTTCCTGCGGCCCCCTCGCCTCCGGGCTGTGCCCTCGGGTGGGTGTGTTGGACCCCGCGGGGGTCCCAGGGAGGGGCGGGGCGCGGCTGCGGTGGGGTCTGGAAGGGGCGAGTGTGTTTCCCTGTTGGTACGGGGGGAGGGGCCCCGAAAGTTTTGGGCTCTGGGAGGGCGTGGGGAAAGCCCTTGGGCAACCTTCCCAGAGTTTCCCTCTTACTCCAGGAGGGGAGGGGGGCTTGCACTAGGTAACCGGGCTGGGCCCCCTGCAGCCCACGGCCCCCTAAAGCGCCCTTCCTCGCCCCGAGGCGCCAGGCCGCTCCGCTCAGAGAACGGAGAACTGCCCGGCAGCGCGGCCTCCAGCGCCCTCCTCTTTTGAAAAACTTGGGCGGTGAGGGACACTTGCTGATTTGTGAGGACCTCCCCGCCCAGAGCCTTCGGGTCTGGAACTAGTCTAGAGGGTGTGTGCTTTGTCCCTCCAGGGACCTTAGTTCCGGGTGAGGAGCAGTGATCTTTCTGGCCCCCTGCAGAAGCAGCTGCTTTTGCAGAACCCTTAGAGTGACGGCAAGAGACCCCATCACTGAGAGTATAAGGTAGAAATAAAGGGATGCTTGTAAATGGAGTAACCCCAAGCAGAAAAAGTGGCACTCAGCCAGGAGAAATTGGCAGCTTCTTGAAAGTATGAAATATAGAAACAGACAAGAAGAACCATTCAGGGGCGTTTTTAAATATACACATTTTGGAGCTGAATGTTTGGTTTTTCTTGGCCCCTTCTGGGAAGGAATTTCTAAAGATTGGCTTTGCTTTGTGTATTTTGTGCAGTAATCAGAAGGTTCTTGTGAGTAGTGGCTTTTATGTCAGTAGGACTTAGCACTACCCTCTTGTCTTTGCCCTTCTCTCTTTTTCTCATTCATAGAATCATAGTCTGGAAGGGTGGAGAGGGAAACTGTCCGCTTAATTTTTGCTTTTTAATTAACATACAATAAAATGTACTTTTTTTGGTGTACAGTTCTGTGAGTTTTGACACACGTATTGATTCGTGTAACTACTACCACAACCAGGGCCTCCTTAGTTTCATCCCAAAAAGCTCCCTCATGCTGCTCCACCCCCAAATGCTGACAACCACTGATCTATTCTAATTGCTGTGGTTTTGCCAGTTCCTAATTGCCATATGATGGGTCATAGAGTATGTAACTGTTTGAAACTGACTTCAGCATAATACCTTAGAGATTCATCCATCTTGTTGTGTATACCAATAATTTTTTAAAATTCCATTGTATGGATGTACCATAATGTATCCATTCACCTTGAAGATTTGTACAATTTCCAGTTGTGGGAATTATGAATAGAGCTGTATTTTACTTTTAAACTACCTATACCATTTTATTTAGAGTGGGTTTCTTATAAATGTTAATAGCATATTGCTGGGTCTTGGGTTTTTTAATTTTATTTTTTATCCATTCTGGCAAACTCTGACTTTTAATTGGTGTGTTTAGGCCATTTACATTTAATGTAATTCCTGGTGTGTTTAGATTTAGAGCTAGCATTTTATTATTTACTTTCTGTTTGTTTTCTGTTTTTCTCTTTTCCTTCTTTTGGATTATTTGAATATATTTTAGTATTCCATTTTTTTTTTTTTTTTGAGTTGGAGTCTCACTCTGTCACCCAGGCTGGAGTGCAGTGGCCGCTCCCGGCCACTGCAGCCTCAACCTGCTGGGCTCCGGCGATCCTTCTGCCTCAGCCTTCCAAGTAGCCGGGAATTACAGGCATGCGCTACCACGCCCGGCTAATTTTTTTGATTTATTGTAGAGATGAGGTCTCACTGCCCAGGCGGGTCTCGAACCCGTGGGCTCAGGTAGTCTACTCACCTCAGCCTCCCAAAGGCGCGGGATTACAGGCTGAGCCACCGAGCCTGGCTAGTATTCCATTTTAATATTGATTTTTTACTATATTTCTTTATGTAGGTTGTTTTTTTTTTTTTTTGAAGTCAGAATCTCACTCTGTCACCCAGGCTGGAATGTAGTGGCACACTCATGACCACTTCAGCCTTGACCTGCTGGGCTCCGGCGATCCTTCCACCTCAGCCTTCCAAGTAGCCGGGAATTACAGGCATGCGCTACCACGCCCGGCTAATTTTTTTGATTTATTGTAGAGATGAGGTCTCACTGCCCAGGCGGGTCTCGAACCCGTGGGCTCAGGTAGTCTACTCACCTCAGCCTCCCAAAGGCGCGGGATTACAGGCTGAGCCACCGAGCCTGGCTAGTATTCCATTTTAATATTGATTTTTTACTATATTTCTTTATGTAGGTTGTTTTTTTTTTTTTTTGAAGTCAGAATCTCACTCTGTCACCCAGGCTGGAATGTAGTGGCACACTCATGACCACTTCAGCCTTGACCTGCTGGGCTCCGGCGATCCTTCCACCTCAGCCTTCCAAGTAGCCGGGAATTACAGGCATGCGCTACCACGCCCGGCTAATTTTTTTGATTTATTGTAGAGATGAGGTCTCACTGCCCAGGCGGGTCTCGAACCCGTGGGCTCAGGTAGTCTACTCACCTCAGCCTCCCAAAGGCGCGGGATTACAGGCTGAGCCACCGAGCCTGGCTAGTATTCCATTTTAATATTGATTTTTTACTATATTTCTTTATGTAGGTTGTTTTTTTTTTTTTTTGAAGTCAGAATCTCACTCTGTCACCCAGGCTGGAATGTAGTGGCACACTCATGACCACTTCAGCCTTGACCTGCTGGGCTCCGGCGATCCTTCCACCTCAGCCTTCCAAGTAGCCGGGAATTACAGGCATGCGCTACCACGCCCGGCTAATTTTTTTGATTTATTGTAGAGATGAGGTCTCACTGCCCAGGCGGGTCTCGAACCCGTGGGCTCAGGTAGTCTACTCACCTCAGCCTCCCAAAGGCGCGGGATTACAGGCTGAGCCACCGAGCCTGGCTAGTATTCCATTTTAATATTGATTTTTTACTATATTTCTTTATGTAGGTTGTTTTTTTTTTTTTTTGAAGTCAGAATCTCACTCTGTCACCCAGGCTGGAATGTAGTGGCACACTCATGACCACTTCAGCCTTGACCTGCTGGGCTCCGGCGATCCTTCCACCTCAGCCTTCCAAGTAGCTGGAACTACAGGCATGCACCACCAGACCCAGCTAATTTTTTGATTTGTTGTAGAGACAAGGTCTCGCCAAGTTGCCCAGTCCTGGTCTCAAACCCCTGGGCCCAGGCAGTCCTCTCACTTCCGTCTCCCAAAGTACTGGGATTATAGGCATGAGCCACCATCCCTGGCTTATGTAGGTTTTTTAGTGGTTACTCTAGAAGTTACAATTTTCATAGCTGACTTTTCATAATCTACTAGAGTAAATACTTTACCACTTTAAGAGAAGTGGTCACCATATAGGTCCCTTTATATTCCCTACTTTATGTTCTAATTGTCTTATTTAGTTATTCATTCATTTATTTATTTTTTGAGTTGGAGTCTCACTCTGACTCCCAGGCTGGAGTGCAGTGGCATGTTCATGGCCATGCCCAGGTAATTTTTATTTATTTATTGTGGAGATGAGGTCTTGCCATGTTGCCCAGGCTGGTCTCAAACCTGTGGGTTCAAGCAATCCTCTCACATCCTAAAGTGCTGGGATTATAGGCGTGAGCCACCATGCCCAGTGTAATTGTAATTTGTCTCTCCCTTGTCTATGTAAGAGACTTTGGGATTGATTCAGTCTGTTCATCTTGCCAGTATTTGAGGCATTGAAAATATTTAAAAATTTTTCTTTAGGTCTCTCCTTTTTAGTGTTTCTGAAGTTCTATGTTCCATTGAATAGGAGTTGAATTTTTGACTTAATTGTCTTAATTTGTTGATTGATTCATTCCCTTACATATTATCTTTTTGTATGTCTGCTGTGTAAGATACCATGCTAATTTAATAAAAAGGTTAGTATTTTTAGGCTTTTATTTTTATTTATTTATTTATTTTTTGAGTTGTAGTCTCACTCTGTTGCCCAGACTGGAGTTCAGACCGCTTCCAGCCACTGCAACCTCGACCTGCTGGGCTCTGGCGATCCTTCCGCCTCAGTCTTCCAAGTAGTTGGAACTACAGGCACGCGCTACCACGCCTGGCTAATTTTTTTTAATTTTTATTGTAGAGATGAGGTCTCACCAGGTTGCCCAGGCAGGTCTCGAACCTGCGGGCTTAGGCAATCCACTCACCTCCGCCTCCCAAAGTGCGGGATTACAGGCTGAGCCACTGAGCCTGGCTTATTTTTAGGCTTTTAAAAGTTAATATCTCCTTGTAGGAAATATCATATAATTGATTTGTTGAACAGCAGACTAAAAGTTATATATCGAAAATGATGGTTAAAATGTATCACTTTGGAAAGCTATGTGGGTATTCTAAAATATTTTTGTTACTTGTGTTTTTGAATTATCTTCATAGTTTTTGACTTAGAGAATGGATATGTTCACTAAATATGTAATGGATATGGTAGTGAAAGATGGGGGAAAGATAAACAAATGTGAATCTTTGCCTTCAGTGAATTTAAATTTTGGTAGACAAGTTAAGAGACTAAGTGACAAGTAGACAAGGTGCTTGCACTCACGCACACTGTCTCTCTCTCTCTCTCTTTCTCTCTCTCTATCTCTATCTCTCTATCTCTAGATTACATCACTTAGACAATTACTCTGTCCTTAAAAAACGTAAAGTCTGATGATAGAGATAAGAAAATCCCTGGATAGAAGATGCTGAGTGTGACACGATATGGGGCCATGAGATTTTTAAAGGAAGAAGCGATTACTTCTTACTGGTGGGATTGTGTCATGAAAAAAACCTTCTTTAAAATGAACTCAGGGCCGG